CTAGTGCGATGATGGAAGGGAGGGAGATGAGACGAGAAGATGGAGACGGTGAAGCACCGATCACGATCCTTGGGTTAATTTTCTTGATTACGCTTTGATTTCGTGTTTCTTTCCGATTCTTTTCGCCTCCCTTAGTAGCGACATCATGGGATGCAGAGGATTGATTTGGTGGATGGCTTTTTTTTTCCCGCCATGCGCAAGGGCACAAAGTCTGTACACCATTCCAAGCAGGAAGATGGGACAGAGATCAGAGATCAAGGCCTCACCGCTTCTTTCTTCGGAGGCGAAGAACTATATTCAATAGATAGGAGAGGGGCAAAGGGAAAAAAAAATTAAAAAATAAAAAAAGATCAAAAAGGTAAAGGACAACGAAGAACCAAGAAAAAAAAAGAAGAGAAAATGAAAAAATCCCATTGTCATTTGACAGACAAGCCCTACCATTCCAGTTGTTCTTTTGCTCGGCTGACGGAGAATCAGGGAAAACAATAGGCCCAGGAACCTTCTTCCTGCAGCACCTCCTCGCGACCCCTTGCGTGAAGTGGAGTCGACTAGCGATCTAGTCCACGACACAACACCCCACTGTTATTGCCTAACCCCACTGCTGTCTGGACGGACCACGGAGTACTCAACAGTATCAGAGATACGGGGTGGCAATGATGGAGCCATTCCCGTGGTTCATTTTGTACGGAGGGCTGGACCTGGGTAGTCTATACTTTCCTCCTCCTCCGTACCTACTTGGTACCCTAGGGAAAATCGAGATGGAGACCCGTGAGCCGTGACAAATCAGTGCAATACTCTGTAGTTAGTTAGTTGGTTAGCATTTGCACCGATAGGCAGATTGTTCCCATCCGTTCCGCGTCTGAGTGACATCGAGGAATGACACGACAATGTTGCCCCCTCTCTTTGACCAGATTAGGTATCCCGTCGAACCCTGGTAACCCAGAATCTACTTGCTCTGGGATGGAGTAGAGTGGTATTCCATGTCTTGCCCTTGAAACTCAAACGAGAGGAGCTCCCATTCGGAATAAAACTCCCGTTCATATGCAGCCTCTAGAGGCATATACTACTCTATGTCCTGGACACAATATCTCCTGAATAATCAAATCAAAATCACAAGATACAAGATAGATTTTAATATCGAAGCTAACGCCATGTCTATAATCCATACTTAGCCCATGTTGCTTGCTCGTGAAGAATCTCTACTGCAACCCTCCTAGGCAGTTCCTTATGCAAGTAACTATGCACAGAAGGCGAACCAATGTATGCATATCGATCCCGTCAACATCTACTCCATACATAAGCATAGGTTTGGCCGAGCACAATGCACAGGGAGGTCCGTGTCTGCTCATCTGCGCCGAGTCTAACGGACAAAGGGGAAGAGGAGGGGAAGCCGTCAGCTTAGTCCTAGTCTAGGAGACCTAGACCAGGGCGAGAGCAGAGAAAAAAGCGAGGATCGACCGAGGACTTTCGTCGCAGTAGTGACGGTTCATAGCGAGAGGCTAATATTACACTACGTCAACCCCTCAAAATGCGGCGCAGTCAAATGAGATGAGGATCAACAGATCATCGGAAGAGTTGTACGGAGTAGTTAACTGTCTTTTTTTTTTCCCTCCCTCTTTTTCTCCCTGCTACCTTCGGCTATGATTATTCTTCAAACCCCCAACGGACCCAGCTAACTAAGCATCTCTACCAATTAACCGCGAGCAGGTCAGAAAAAAAAAGGACAACAAAGAAAAACCGCCATCCACTCCCATGTCGAGATCTGAGCAAGTACCCAGTCACGCAGGATGACCAGTCCGCTACCGACGGGCCGACACCCGCAGCCGTCCGTACATACAGCAGATCTTGCGGGGCTGCTCCCCATTCCAGTTAATAACAACGGAACAACCTATCCTAGACATTGGAACTATGGGCTCCTACTTTCCCTGAAGCATATTCTCTCCGGACTGAAGCTCTCCGCTACGGAGAATACTCTCTTGAGAATAGTCCAGGAATCCCTCGTTCGTAGGCGGAAATAACCCCCGACTACTGACAGAACTATTACCGATCGATACTACCATCAAGGCTACACAACATGTCAGACCCGACTGGAATTGAATAAAATGAAAAAAATGGAAATAAAGATAAATGAGCGAAGACTGTCAAATTGATTTTTTTTTCTCCTCCCTGGTAGACTAACCGACTAGTCGTGTCTGCTGAACAGGGAACTAGACCATCCTCGTCCACTGAAAAGCCCCGCCCGCTAAGATTAGCCCCTTCGCTAGCTTGACGGCTGATAGACAGCAGCAACCATGGTCCGGGATGATTGATGAAGGAATGGATTTGCTGGCCCAGTCCAGCCTCATCTGCTAGAGTTAGCCCGTCGGAGCCAACCGTCAGTCGGCAAAAGCGCCAGTCGTATTGGTTATGCTAGTGCTGGGCGCTAGACCCGACGGTGGAAATGCGCTGTTGGTAGGTGGGTGAAGCGGTTTTCTCGGGAATTCCATCCAATATTGCCTGTGCTTGCTGACTTGGAGTGGAGTTCGCTGGTCGTTGTGATTTCTCCCAGACCCAGACCAGACCAGACCAGCACCGGGACCGGTTCGGATATTTTGGCAATTGATTAATCTCCTGGGCGTATTAACCATCAACCGCCAATTCTCGGCTTATTTGCTGAATCATGGGTTTGACTCTGGTTATCTTAATTTCAAACCATTCACACCATCCCCTCTTGGATTTGGTTTAATTATCGATTCGGAGTCTGAATGAGCTGCCCCGAATAGTGGGGCGACAGCTGAAATGTCGCAATTTGCAAGGAATTGATTTCCTTATTTCTGATTCGAATTATCAAATTTGTTTCCCCCCTCACTGGGTCGTTCTAACGGGAATCATTTTTTTGGGTTTCCCTTTCCCACCTCGAAACTCGATAGACATATGTATAATATGCACCTGTTATACCCAGGATGCACTAAGTAACAGACTGCCAAAGATAATCCGGAGACCTACAGCTGTACCTGCAGCCGGCATGCACGCAAAAAGGCCAACCGGTGTTTTCCAACCGCCGGCCCCAACAACCCTAAAAACAGCCGCCAACCAACTGAGGATGTTTTTCTGCGTCGTTGGGTTGTGCCCTTTTCTAGCCGCTCTTCCACACATCGCGGTATAGCGCGTCCAGTAGTAGCCCCTCCAACCGCAACCGTCAAAGCAGGTACCGAGTTGGAGAAAGATCGAAAAGCACGCTCCGTCGGTTCTCGGAGCATTCTCCCCGTTGGTGCTGATTTCCAGTCAGTCCGGCGTTACCCCCGTTTTTCTTTTTTTTTTTTTTTTTTTTTTTAGACCAAGTATAACTAACTTCAACTTAACTGACTAACTTGACGGACCCCTGACAGCTGGGCGGAGGAGCGGGGGCCTTGGTCAGTGGTCCCGGTCTCCCAGAGGCCGAGAGGCTGGCCCCGATTGAATTGAAGACCCAAGGCCCATAAAAAAATAAAGGAAAGGCAAGGCGTAATGGAAATTCCGCCCTGTTGTGTAACCAACCCTCATCGGCATCATCCTGGTCAGTGATTTCAGAAAGGGAAAAAAATAAGTACGCAGTATAATAAAATAAAATAAATCCCCTCCGATACTTGCTGTCCTGGGCAAACTAGTACTTGACAGGGGTAATTTTCCGGTCATTGGCGTCCGAGGATTTTCTTCCCTGGGCTCCATCCATACCGAGGCTGGATTGGAACACAACTTTGGAATTCAAGGTTACACGTACCAAAGAATGGCCTCCATCCGGTACGGTTTATACGGAGATACCTACCTAGGCATGGAAGAGCATTTGCCGAGGGAATAGATAGTATGTACTAAGGTAGTCTGCGGAGGAGATGAAGAAACCCCGTCAGGGCGGGAAACAAATCAGATTGGGTTAGTCATGTTTACTCCGGAGTTGCTTGGTATTCTGCTCCATCAGTTAACGCCCCGTAGCGCCGAAGAAGAGGGCCATCATATGAATACCCACCAGGACTGGTCTACAAAACATGAAACCTCCGTAGCACCACGAAGACATGGATCAGAAGTATGAACCACAGGTCAATTGGCCATGAACCCCTGCATTCGGCCAATTCTACGAGGATGACCGGGGGAAGGGGGCCAAAATCCCATGTGTCGCGTTAGATGAATTCGGATTCCGGTCTATTCTCGGGGGGGCTGTCGGTGATTGGGACTGGGGTTGAGAAGAGGGGGCGTAGTAGTTGGTTCTAGTTAGTCTAGTCAGTACTCCGTAGGTAGTGATGGCCGGGGGGAGAAAGAGGGACGATACTACCTACTCCGTATCGTGAGCTGAGAGGGATGTCTTCTATCCTATCATTCCGCTCCGACTTGCCTGCTACGGCAGACTAACTGACAGTAGCTCGTTCTTCCGTCGGTGCAAAATCCAAAAAGCGACATGGCGATCGAGACAATTGGGGGCCAATCAGTCGAGCGGAGATCCCACTGGATGAAAGGGTTTAGATTAAACATGATCACGAGAAGACCGATGGGCTCTCTGGCGCTCTCTACTGGCAGCTATGGCTGCACGCAGGTAATTAACCTTACATTGCATGTTCCGTAGTTACCCGTGCACAGAGATCGACTGCACGATCGGGGGGGTCGGGGCGATGATTGGCTTCTGCGCGGGTTCTCCTCCTTGAGGGCGAGGACGGACTACAGGGTGCCCTCTACGGGGTCGTAAATGACCCTAAATATAGCGTGATGTCGAGGCGTCGAGGGGACATTGTCATGCTTTGCAGGACTTGAAAGTTTATGCAACTGTTTCCGGTATAACTGTTAGTCCTGATTATAGTTGTTTATATAGTACTCGATAGAGAGAGAGATATATATATATACATCTTACCATAACTATTTTTAAATACTGGTTAAACCACCATGATAATATGCCTATACGCTGTAAAAAACTGCCTCTCCATGATCTTCCTAGCTAATTTTAATTTCAATCCTCTAGCGAATACTACCTGGTACCCAGCACCCTATAATGCTCACATTCTCCTCCCTATGAAACGGTCCTCAATTCGGGTCCGGATCAGTCGACCAGGATGGCCGGCGTTACGCCAGGCATCCCTGTCCCCAGCTGGCACCATGGCCCTTCCACAGAGCCTATCACGGACGAAGGAGGACCCCCAGCGACGATCGGAGGCAGAGAGAGAGAGACCGGATCCCCGCTCTCCTCGGACGAGGGCAAACCGCCAAGAGGCCACGGACCGCCAGGAATCAAGGAAGGGCCGGGGCGGCGTGGCGGGTGATTGGTGGAGGACGGGGTTCTGCACAGGCCGAGTGGATTGGCTGATGGGCGATCGACTGGCGGTGGGAGCGACCACGTAGTTGAGTCTAGTCGCGGGCTCAATGGCCACCGTTGACGCCGCGAACCGTCAGATTCGGCCAGCTTTTCTTATCCTGCGTTCGGTATTATTCTGTTTCCCTATTATCCATCATGACGATGATGACGACAGGGCGGTTCGCTCGTCTCTTTTTATTTCTTTTATTTCTTTTATTTCTTTTATTTCTTTTGTTTAATTTGAATTTTATTTCCCTCCCCGAGACGAAGTACGGGATACTTCCTGTTATTCTGATTATTTTATTTCCTCTTTTTCATCCGATGTGTTGGCTAGTCCTTTCCCCTATCGTCCCTCCTGTGTGATGATCCTGAGTATCATCCGCGATCTGACCACGACCACGATCACAGCCCCCAACCCTCTTTTTTTTTTTTTTTTTTTTTTTCTTCTTTTGCCCCCTTCCATTCTCGTGTCTGCCTCCTCCTTGCTGACATGCTGGCGGAACCTGTAGGGTCTGGCCCGTTTGATCTTAGTTGAGGATGGCGACGGGATCCGGGTTTCAGCTGCAACGACCCGTGGTGCATATGCGAGTGCCGACCAGGATCGTCTGAGGCGGATTTCGGGTGGATTACAGGTATTTGCTGACTTCTTGCGCCTCTCGTGACAGTTTTCCTCGAGGAGGTCGGGGAGGAGGAGGAAGAAGAGGGGGCTGGGTAACGCAATACACTTTCTTCCTGCACCAGAATCAGAATCAGAATCCCACTCATTGCATGACTCTCTCTCTCTCGAATTTTCCACGGCCAATCCCAACAACCCAAACAAAGTTCCCTCTGCCTCCATGATTCGACTCCGCAGGGACCCGCGATCTCCCGTGCAGCCGAGCCAAGGTCTAGTTGACGCGGTGCTCACTAGTCGGTCTGTTCGTGAAGGGCAGCCCGGTTGAGCTGCTTTAACTTCTCTCTACTGCGCGTATGGATGTGCATCCAGAGTCTAATAAGTGCCGCCGGGAGGAGTTCCTTCGGTCGGTGCAGTCCGGATATATGTGCATATCGCCTACTGTACCAAGGGAATAGATCATGCACGCTATAGATAGATCGTTGAGGTTCATTTTACTCTGCATAGATCGCGTCGCGTACTTTGGGTCGGCCGTTCATCGTCCACGGATGACGTAGGGAGAATGGCAATAATAACCTCAACACTTTGGCGAGACAGAGGCAAAAAAAGGAAGCAGGGCCGAAATGATAATAGTAAAATCAAATCAAATAAAACATCCCCAACCAACCGGCCGCATCAAACTATTCCTGTAGCAGGCAAAAGTTTGTCATCCCAACCCACGGAACCCACGGGTTGAACAAACCTCATCATCATGATTCAGTTTCCCTTCCCGATCAGGACGATAAGACTGGTTGACTGACCATCCCTGCCCTACCTTGACCTTGACCTCGCCTCCGAGAAGGAAAAGAAAAGAAGAAAAGAAAAAAAAATACCATCGACCAGCCACGACGCGGTATTGACCGCTCTCTCACCGTCTTTTCCCCCGTTGGTTTTCTAGACTGTTTCATCTGTTTTTCCTGACTTTCTTTTTATTTTCTTTTTCTGTGAGGCGAGTGGCAAACCGATTGTCCTTTTTCTTTTTTCTTTTGGGATACGCAGTACATACGGAATCCATACCAGGACATACGGACATGCATCCATTCGATTCGGTAAACGACGACCCTTCCATTTCCCGTGCTTGACCCCCTTGATCTGGTCGCTGGAATGCTGTGTCACCTGAGGCTTCGTCATGTGCCTTCCTTCCTTCCTTTTTCTTTCTTTCTTTTTTTCTTTCTTTTTTTTCCCGGTTCTCCCTTTCCTTCCCTTCCTGTTCGACTGATCCCAGACAGTAGGTAGTCTCCATCGGGCTGAACCTTCCACGCACTCGATGAACTAGCACGGCACGTACTCCGGATCTACTCGCTAGGTAGGCAAGCAGACAACCCAGGCAGGCAGGCAGGCAGGCCGGTAGACAATACCTAGACCACCCAACCGGCCCCGGGACGAATCGAATCCCGGCGAAATGTCCGAAGTCTGAGATGGCAAGCTAGGGAGGGGAGGTGTCGATGTGGTGGCCATTGTCGTCGTCATTCGAACCGAAACCGACTACCTGGGCCAATTGTCCATTGTACTCCGTTGCATTCATTGTTAGGGGGAGGGGATTGTTGCAAGGGGGAGGTGGGTTAGATTGGGCTGGGCTGGGTTGAGTTGCCTTGGTTATCTTTCGGTGTTGCGCTGTGTATCCGGTTGGGTAGTACATGGTAGTACACGCTATCACGTCGGTAGGAATTTATCCTACCTGCTTGTCTGCCAACGTATCGGTCCATGTGTGTTTGGGTACGGGGTCTGGGGTGTTGGATCTTATGTGTGTTGTAAAGGAGGTAGAGAGTGAGGAGGGGGTTGTAGGTATTGGGGAAGAGCAGATATTGGCACCATAGTCCATCTAATCTACTACAGCTAGCAGAACAGAGAGCTAACAGGCGGTCGTTTACCTGAACTCGTGTATGTACATCCTAACTGCCTGCCTACAGCAAAGAAACATGTATGTACCTACCTACCGTTGGACAGAGTTTGTGAGTCCTAGAAACTCTGAGACGAGCAGATTGTTCGAGTCTCAGCAGTTGTGCGCTCACCCGGGTTACATTGTTCCTGCGTCTCGGGGCATGTAGATGTCCATTTGGATGGCGGGTGTTATGTACACTGTGTATACATGTGCAAGTATGTGGATGCAGAGTATATATTTATGATTCGTTCTGTGTATAGGCCCGGATGGGTGCAGGGTTGTGCTGTCATGTGTTGCCGTTCTGCCTGAGTATTATATATGTCTCTATACAGACCTGTTTTCTAGACCTAATGTGACTTTCCTTGAATAGCTGATTAATTGTAAATTTTATCATTCAAAAGCTGGAATTTATAGCTATTTTTTTTAGAACAGGATTTTATAGTATGTCTAACAATCCCACAGCCACAACAGCGTGGTTGAGCTCGCTGGCGAGGCCACTGCTCATTAAGCTGCAAATCAAGCTGCTGAACACGACCTTGACCCTCTTGAATAGATAAAAAGGTGTCATTTCCTAGTAGACCAAGTCTTTTTGCTTGTTTCTTGTATTTTCGTTCGTTTTCAGCTCGCAGAGTCTTAATTTCTTGCTGTGAAAGAAGATTAGTATTCATCGCCATCTGCGCTGCCCTTTCTATATGATGAATATGAGATCTTAGACTGCTGGAGAGTTTTCCTTTTGCATTAAGGCGTTTTTGAAGACTGCGAACCTTGCGATTAATCTGGTGAGGGTTCTGAGGAGCCTGAAAAGCAGAAGAAATTGAGCCTTCAGCCCGTGTATATAGTTGTAAAGTGATTTTGCGAGAACCTGATCTTGATCGAGCGGTTTAAGCCCAGCTCATGCAGAACCACTGAATATATTGGCTGAATTGAATACTTCAGCGCGTGCGTCTGGATATAATGACAGAAAGTCTTCTTTATCAATGTGGTTGTTGCCGGCATTCATTCTTGCTTCAAGTAGCTTTGCATACACCCCTTTAAGCGGATCGAAAACACCAACATCAAGAGGTTGCAGAATATGAGAGGTAGCTGCAGGCATATCAAGACAGATTATTGCATTCTGTTTGCAAAAACCATCAAACCCTGCTGTAAGATGACTATTATGGCCATCAGGAATGAGTAATTGTTTCACGCCAACTATATAGCATCTAGAACATGGTTCAAACCCCCTTCTCAACCAGTAGAGGCCTATTTCATCTGTTGTCCTGTTGCCCTGTTGTCCAGCCATTCTGACTAGTTGTAATCCGCTAGCCTTTAGAAAGTGCAGGTTTTTGATACCAGGCAGCTTGCTGATTTGTTGCTTTGAGTATAACCACTGGTGGTATAACCTTTTGAACTGACAGTTTCAATGATAGTAACCCATTCACGATTGCCCTGGATAACTCTTCTAGGCTTTTCACTACGTTCTACTGCAGTGATAACATTAAGTCTATCACGAGAGTGGCTTTTAAATCATATGAACGACGGAGATCATCATCTGATAGGCCTTTGTGTATTCACAAAAGCAGTTTCGATTTGCTTCCCTTGAATTCATGTCTTGATCGTGGATTGCACATACAAGACCAACAGACATAAGATGCCTTTACTTGATGTCAATAGGATTACAGCAACAGGGCATACGTTCTTTGCTGGTTTTGTGTTTATTCATAATAAGCAGCAAAGCTCTTATGATTTTGCACTCGAAAATTCATTAAAAGTCCACATTCAGCTTGGCTTGCAACCACCGAGTATAATCCTGACAGACAAGGGAAAAGCTCTTATAAATTCATGCGAGAAAGTTTTCTCTACAGCTGACAATCTGATATGTCTCTGGCATGTCAATAAAAGCATCTTTGAATGCTGGAATCAGTTGAAACTAGAGTATAGCAGAGTCCTTTTCAGGTTCTTGTTCTTATTTCTTGAGAAAGAATGGCTGAATGAAGATACACAAGGTCGTATACTCTATTGCTATACTGACAAATTCTTTCATCTTGACATGCGTACAACCTCCCGCAGTGAAGGCGCTCGCGCGTGGCTTAAGAGAGGTCTTGCAACTTCTAATACCGATCTTCTTTACGTTATTCTATGATTTCAAAGGAGGCTTGAGCATCAACATGACTGTTGTATCAGAGCAAAAGATAATGAGTGGAGAGCTAGTCCTGTTTATGTGCTCCGTGTGCTCCTATTTGGTAACCTATTCAAAAGGATATCTCACTACGCCCTCAAAAAAGTATTTGATATCTACAACTCTCATCTGATCATGAAACGCCCTACCCCGGAAGAATGTGCTGGCATAACACGCGCTGCACGAGGAATCCCTTGTATACATGGGATCTAGGAATGCATAAATCAGAAAACTACATTGAATATTAATCATTTTCATCAACAATGGCTTCTCTACACTCCTGCTGATATGCCTTCTACAGAGCCTCAAGCGACCATCTTTTCTCCACGTGTTCTCACGGCTGTACGTGGTAGACCATCAAATACACGCGTTACGCCCTTTATATCAACAAGAAGGGATCCCTTTGGATTCGAGCGAGTTCTAGCTAAGGAGAAGATCCCTAAAACACCTAGACGGTCCAAAAGGAAGGCAGCAAGCCAGCCACCTCTATCATTGTTACTATTCATTGTCCCCTCACCCCTACAGTTGCCTCAATTTAACTCTCATACGGTCATCAACCCGGGACGATTATCCTTGGCTGATATACTGGTAACGGCCCTTGCTGCATCGAGAAGTGGTCGTGGACTCAAGCGAGTAAGCGCTCAATGGAGGCCTTTTTGGAGCCATGGTCGGTGGTTGAAATAATGAGGTTTTTTTGAACGCGTGTTGTGGGATTTTAGCGCGTCTACTCATATTTAGTGCCGAGTATAGCCTCTTCCGAAATTTCTACTTCATCTTCGTTTCTTTCCCCACTGTGTAACTCGAAGGGCCCGGCCGTTGGATAGACCCGTACCTGGAAATTGAGTCCCTTTGTCCATCAGGGTTGCACTGTGACCAGGCAGCAGACGAAGGGGCCAACCAATCAGGCTGCTCTCAACTACATCGCCTGTTGGTATTTGCTGTATAAAGAAGAGACTCCTCACTAGGTGAACCGCTGAGATCCAAGATTTTCACATCTGATGCCCCTCTAGTCTTCCTACGTGAGTTTCAAAGGGACAGAATCTCCCTTTCTCCCATCTTTCTTTCTCTAAGGCTAACTGCACCACCCCAGAAGATCATCGCCTGATCCAACTCCAACATGAAGGCCCTCCCCTACCTCTCCCTCCTCCTCGGCATCTCCGCAACCACCGCCCTCGCGGCCCTCCGCCCAGACGCAACCCCCGACGAGGTCGCCGCGGCGGAAGCCCAGTGCGGGTCCCTCGGCGTAATGAGGATCGACCCAGCAGAGCTGCCCGAGGGCGTTCGGATGACCGACGTCCGCATGTGCGCTGACCATCCCCTCGGCCCCGACGCGTCCCCGGGTTCGGGTCCTGGGGCTTTCGCCGGGCTTCGTCGGTTCTTGAGTTGGGTGTTTTGAGATGACGCCAGGATTTCTTCTGCTCACGTGCGGGCTGGCCAGTTCCTGCGCTGTACGGTGGGAGCGGCCGTTTGGGAATGTATGATGTCGGTTGATGTTGATCTTTTGGAAGGAGCTTGATTGATATAGTCTAGCTAGAGGATAATATTCAGATAAAATCACCGATAATGACTACACAATTTCCATTAAATTTTATGCTAGCGTGTTTTTCCCGTTGGACGGAACTGTATAGAGTTGGCAGCCTGTTATAGGAAGCCTTTAGCTGGGTATTCTTGCCAAGGCACTAGAATGACTGTATTCACGATCTCACTGGTCCAGGGGATAGATAGTAGATTGCCCTGGCAAACAGAAATCCTGCCGCCTGCCATCGGTCATCCGAGTTGAACATGAAAATCTGGTCATTATTTCTCAGCCGAGCCACCTTGCTGAACAAGGGGGCGGAGAGAAGAGGACAGCCTTGCACCTGTCAAGTGATAGCCTCAGATAGCAAGGCTAGGCACTCAGGGAAGTTCTTGCCTGTTGTGAACAAGCGCAAAAGAAAAGACGCTATTATTACTCCTGTGTCTCGGGTTTAAGGTGGTTGAGTTGTGAAGGGTTCGAGAGAGGGGGCGTTGATTGGCTGGCGGCGAGCGTGAGGGCGCTTTGGCGGAAAGTAGCATACGGCAAGGCTGGTAGAGAACCGCTGAGAAACTACTACCTCTGAGCATAATGCGAATATTCCGACTTCACTATGCACCCGTTTATAATAGTCTGAGCAAAAGCCCTGGGAAGAGGCTACTGGCCTTGCCCTATATACAGTGTATGTCGGCGCAAAAGGCCTTAGAAGACCAGTATATTACTGATGGTTCGATATAGCTCAGGACAAGGGGAAAGACCACAAGGAACGGGCAGCTGCTCCAGGCTATCCATATACTCCGTACTACAGAACTTATGCGGACATTCTCTAGCTGCATCGCGCCAGTCCTACACTACATGGATCAACGGGGGCGGAAGTTTCGTTGCGCCTGCGGTTACCGACCTCGCCAGCCTCTTCCTCGTCAAAGTCCTGCTCATCAAGAAGGGGACCTGTGAGCGTGCTAGCAATGAAGTGTGTGTATTCCTATCTGTAAGGACAAGATGTCCCTAGCTATAAAGACGCCACTATGGGCGGCACTAAGCTACATTAGGCAATGGAAGCAAGGGACCTAGGAGCGCCGAGTACAATCAACAGGACCAAACACGGTGATCAGCCCACCGGAGGCGGGAATCCGTTGGGGTGTGGATGGTAGTGTCGTCTCTCAGATGTAGACGCTCCTTTCTTTACGAGATGAGGTATAAAAGGCACGACCACTCCCATCCATCCAAGGTATAATCCAGCTATATCCAGTCCTTCCATTGCCCAAGAAACGCACATCTCTCATCTACAATCGGTAGGCCCCCCTTATTCTCTCTTCTGCTTCTTCTCCATCCCCATCTCAATAAGCATACTTACCCTTCAGCCGTCTCCATCCACCGCAATCCACGATGAAGCTCCCCATCACCATTCTGAGCATGCTCGCTCTCTCCTCCGCGCTCACCCTCACCCCGAAAGGCGACCCCGTCGTCGAATGTGGCGATCTCGGCGTCATGACCGTCGACCCGGCCGACCTCCCCGCGGGCGTCGCCCCCAGCGACGTCCGGAAATGCCTGGACCACCCGCTGGGCCGGAACCGGCACGTTAAGGGCGCGTCGCTGGCGCCGCTGGATGCGGTGGATGCCTCGTTCTACAACGGCACGGGGGACACCGACACCAGTCCCGTGGAGGCTCGCGTGGATGGCCTCGACGGTGCCCTGGAGAAACGGGCGTGCTACAAGGACGCGCCGTATGGGTGCTCCGGGGGGTATTGTTGGAAGGCCTGCGGGGACATGAACAAGGGTGAGTGGTGCTGGACAGCGGCGAAGGACGGGCTGGGCGCTTGGATGAAGTGTAGTACGTGGCAGCACTGCGGGACTACGTCGTATGCGTGTGGGAAGGGAGGGTGTCAGGCCTGTGGGTGCGGTTGTTAGCAGGCTGGATGGATGGCCCAGTGCGCTATGAGGAGCAGTTGTAGGGGTTGAGGTAGATAGTTTAGGCGGATGATGGACGATCTAAGGACGAACTACAATGGATACCTAGATATAGGCGAATCTCCTAATCAATAAAATGGGATAGTCCAGACAATTGATGATCGGCAGGCTACTTGAGTACTAAACAAGTTGATAAGTGTGGAACCGTCGGATTATGTGCAATTCACTTTATTCTTATCAGTTCTATAGACTTTATGGCATATTGACAGAGCAAAAAGCAAGCCAAGTATAAGCCTAATAATAGGCTTTTCCATTCCACTTGACACCTCGCTTCCATCCCACCGTAACCCGTCCTGCATGCCAAAACCAAACCTCATGAAACACATCAAGTCTTTAAAAAAAGGTACATATAAACTGAGTCATGTTCTTAAGAGTTTCGTTTCCCTGCCTGGAAAAATATCTGGTTCCAGATATCGATCCACTGCTGCTGCTTGTACGACAGCACCTTTTGCGGATCCCGGAACGTGCCCGACAAGATGTCTCGGATGCGAGCGCTGAGAATCTTGAGAGCCAGCATCGACTTCCAGTCTCGAACGCTGAATCGGATCCGGTTGGCATCGATGGAGACAACGCCGGAGTACATCTGTCGAAGATCGATTAGATTTGCTTTGGTCAATGTGATCAGTCTCAGACTTACCTTGAACTCGGGCTCGCCACACAACAAGGCAATGGCAAAGTCGTCCACAGCATTGGTCTCGAAGGCGTTATAGTTGCGATTGCGTCCTTGCATGATGTGGTAATAGGAGAGCCATTTGATGGCAGGGTCGGATTGCTTGTTCACCGACGTCGGATGCAGCGTTACCGACTGGTTGTTGGCCACGTTCCGCCATCCTTTTCCTTCGCGGGTGAGCAGCTTCGGGTAGAAACTCCAGGTGATGACGGAGTTGACAATGACATCGTTACTGCTATTCACATCGTATTCTTCAGGAATAACGAAGAACTGGCGTGAGCGACCGCCATATCGAGATCTGTCGGAATGTTAGATATAGGGCTGACGAGATTAGACAAGTCGAGAATCAAACTCGCATACCTGTTCAAGGATGCTTTTTGGGAAGGATCCAGACTCAGAATCCCCGCGTCTGCAATGGACACGATAAGCTGCATCTTTATATCCTCAATGTTCAACAGCGTCTGAGGACTGAGGAAATTCTTTCGGCAGAATGTGAATTCGCTGACGCCTTGTGTGCTTTTCGTGCGTTTCCAGGCACAGTAGGCATTGTACACGGTCAGAAGATCAGAGTCGCCTGCTACAGTTAGTTAAAGGATTGACGGCAGGTATCGCTGATCCTCACCTTTCCTGAACGATAGTCTCGCTAGGTCTTTTTGGGTATTCGAGCCCATCGTGTTCACGAAAGGCGATTTGGAGGAAAGAATAGCGGCAATACTGATAGTCGCATCCAAGCATTTGAAGAACGCGCCTTGGATAATCAGCTTTCCGAGAAAGACGTCCAGCGGCAGCTTAGCGAGTTGCATTCCCAGAGACGTGAGATTTTCCCCGTTCGTGAGAGCTTTGACCTCTTTCAGGGAGTCAATTGCTCTGCGGATGTTCTTGGATGAAGGCGGGTCGAGCGCTTCGAGCAGAGTTTGCTCCACCTCGCCCAATTTGCAAATCTTGACTCGCAACACTAGATCTTGCAATGATAACCGAAGCATCTCAGGCGTTTGTTGCTCAGCGAGCTACACGTGGTCAGCGTCCAGGTAGCTCTCAATTTCTCCGAATGAGAGGAGCCATACCGATTTTTCGTGTCTATACTTGGTGAACAAATGGAAACAGATTCCATTTTGGACACGTCCAGCTCGTCCACGTCTCTGCTTTGCGTTGGCCCGCGATATAAACGCCTCTACTAATCGCGAAAGCTGCCGTCTCTCATCGAAACTGACGCTTTATGAGTAACGGGATACGCCAAAAGAGCAGGTTCACTTACCGCATAGTTTTTTCCTTGCCCGCATCGATGACGGCAGTGATATCCGGGATGGTGATACCTAGGCATTGTTAGTGGCTACAAACCCTATTGATGCGGAATACGTACCAGTCTCTGCGATGTTGGTGGCAATGACAATCTTTCGCGTACCAGGCGGCGGCACATTGAATGCCTTCTCCTGATCTTCACTGGCGATGGAAGAGTGGAGTGCGTGGACAATCCACCCTTTCTGGAACTCGGGTTCCGACAAAATCTCATCATTCAGGCGTCGAATTTCTGCCATACCAGGCATGAAAATCAGAATGGCTTTACTATAATGCTCCATCTCTGGACTCGACGCAAGCTTGATGAGCAATTTCTTGATCAACTGATAGTCAAGACGATACTCATCGAAATTGAGGACAGTTTCCCGTGTTTGCTTGGAGTATCCTTCAAGCGCGGTTTGCAGGCCCCCTGCCGAATCACCTTGGCCATTCTCAGGCGCCATTTCGTCCGTATCTTCCTCCACCAATGCATTCGGGTCGTGCTCCGCCAACCGGTAGTTTGTCATCTCAACGGCATCCTCTAGGAACTTCATTTCCACAGGGAAAGTCCGTCCCGGGATGTTCATCACAGGAACTCCCCCTAGGTAGGTAGAGAAGCGCTGGGCCTCGAGGGTAGCCGACATCAAGATCAGTTTCAACTCCGGCCTTTTCTGCATCAACCGCCTGAGAACGATGAGCAGGAAGTCACTATCAATCGTACGTTCATGAACTTCATCGAGTACGACATGAGTGATATCTTGGAAATCGTCCGGGCGTTCCAGCATCCGTACCACAACTCCAGTCGTTCTGGTAAACATTAGCATTTAGGGCTTATAGAGAAGACACGGGGTGAGATGGGAAGCATACGCAAAGACTAATCTCGTAGACTGGCTGACTTTGCTTTCCAGCCTGACCGCAAATCCGATGAGAGAGCGGGACGTTCCCACGTCGTTCTTGCTCTCACCCAGCTCTTCGCTTACTCTTCGGGCCAAAGATATAGCAGAGATCCTTCGGGGTTCTGTGACAAATATCTTACAAGGACGGCCTTGCTGCATTTCATGCTCAAGAATGAATGATGGGATCTGCGTACTTTTTCCACTACCCGTTTCACTGCAGATGATGAGCGCACGATGAGTATCTAACGTACTGAGTATTTCGTCCTTGAAATTCCAAATCGGCAGGTTCATCCTTCCTAGGGCCATATGCTGGAAAGAAGGTGTCGATGACTTGTCTGCCCAAATACTCTGGAGCAGCTGAGACTCGGTGTTCGACGATTCCTTGCCACCAGATGACTTGGAAGGAGATTCCAATCTGTTTGGCGTTCCATTTCTTCTGCGAAAATTGTCCAACAGGACTACATCATCTTCGAAGCTTCCATGATTTTCTTGTATCAACTTCTTCAAGCCCCTCACGGCCTTCTTGTCCACCTCATCCTCTTGAAGCTTCTTTGCAGTTGCAAACTCAGTCCACAGATCTCTCCACACGGCTGGAAGACGCAGGTATGATTTCCCTTCCTTTGAGCTTTGCGGGAAGAGAATGAAAAGAGCCAACGTTGAGACAAACGCTTCTGCTTGCTGCGGCGTCGGTGTTGCCAGGTTATCCATTGATACAAAAGTGGCCCATGGGCTTGACTTGTGAGTAACCGCATCCCATTCGAACTGGAAGGGGACATCTTGTGGCTTAGAGAATCTCACTTCAACTGCCCTGCGGTTGGTATGTGATGAAGGGGAAAAGTCTTTGTAGGTGACACTTGACCCAGAATCCCTAGAAGAATAGCAACTGTTGTTAGGCGGGCTCCTACACTAGCCACGAAAGAGAACACCATAGCCATACCTTGCTCTGCAGGTTTCTTCTAACACACGTCGAGGGTTCAGGCCGGTCCATTTGCCGAAATCACGAATTGTCACAGCAGCTTTGTTTAGTTCTTCGGTGATTACACCAGTCTCCAGAACCGGCTCTTCACCCCCGAACATATCCCCTAGAAGGTCCGCAGCATCATCCATGTCCTCTTTCGAGGAGTCTTGCTCCGGCTTCCCCTCTGATTGCTCCTTGCTTTCGTTGGCATCCGGAGTAGTTTTCTTTTGAGGCTCCATTTGTCGGAGAAAAGCAGCTTCTTTGCGCAGATCCTCCAGCTTCTCTTTCCACCGATATTCAGCCTCGGCACGATCAAAAAGTACATCATTCTCAATGCTGGCAATTTTACGCTGCAGTCTTATTACTTGGGGGTTTTCACCGTTAGAGTCGGTGGTTTCTCGGCCTGACTTCTTTCCCTTTCTGGGTTTGTCGAAAAGATCAGGCTGGAGACCATATAATTTAGTTTGCAATTCCATAAACTTGGGCATGAGGGTATCAGGATCCAAAGAACTATCCGAGTCATAAGGACTCGAGGGAATTGATTCCCTTATTTCGCTTTTCGCCCTCTTGGCTTTGCTGTTATCCTGGGTTACTTTGGGGACCGGGGACTGTGCTGGCTCACGATCTAATGTCGATTAGTTATTCCAGGTCGGGACACGATACGAAGCACTTGATAGAGTTACCGTTTATCCAAGAGATATCCTTTTCATCTCTGCGCAGCTGGATGTTTGTCTGCAAGTAGGATGGCAGTTCCTCCAGCTTGCAGTGCATGGCGAGCCAGTCCAACGCCTCGTCCAGATTACACACCATGTCCCTATTGGCATAGGTGAAATTACCGGCAAAATAAAGCAGCAGGTGCTTTAAAACCTCCTCTACTCGTTCCTCGGGAAATCCGAGCTTCAGGAGGGTTTCCTTTAGGGTCCAGACTCTCCCATACAGCTCTTCCTCCGAGCCGGCCTTTTTCAGGCCAGTTGGATCGCGGCCCGGCAAGGGACTCAGTTCGCGTTCCTCCGTCTCGGCGAGACCCAGTATGGAGTCCAGTATATCCTTCGGAAGCCATTCTAGAAGGTTCAATAATACAGCCTGTTGGCGGAGAACTCTTCGCTCGGTTTCCAACTTGGACACCTGGCGGGCTGCATCATTCTTGCATTTCGCCGCGTATTTATCCACCAGAATCTGTAGTTCTGCATCCTCCAGATATTTCTCTAGTTCCTCGGGGGAGTAATTCTGGAGCGAGGAAGGTTCTTGCGTCGTTGCCACCGGTTGACTGCTCTCCGCGGGGGTAGGACGATCACTTTCCGACACCGATTTCGATTCGGCGGCCGTTGTGGGAGCTGTTGAGTCAGTAGAAGCGACCGGCTTGGGTTTCGAAGGCACCGAGACCGTCGCAAACCCTCTTGCCGGGTTGGACGCGGGCTTCTTCTTTTTCTTGTTATTTGGCGGCATAGTGGGCAATGAATCACCGGGATGGGTCGACCGGGGGGGGTATAAATGCGGGAGAGATAAAAGCGAGATGGGAATAAAAATAAAGAAAAAACTCCAAATGGACAAGAAAATCAATCCAAGGAAGCGATCTAGATCTAGAGCGAAATCGAAGGTGAGGGAATGGTCGAGCAGGAAATAACGAGGGTGCGGAGGAGAGAAAGAGAGCGAGGCCGTGATTATTGGGCGGCAGCTCTCCCCACAACGCCGAAAACTTTTATGACAACATCATCGACCGCAGGCCACAACTTCCCGCCGTCCCGACATGCTCCAGGCCCAATCATGGACGACTTTCCATGGGATCAAGTAAAGGCAGGGGACCTGGAGAGCCTGCATCTCGTTCTCTTCACGAGTTCGACCTCTCGCAGAACTCGTGCTCTCCAGGACCTGCACGATCGAATTGGTAAGAAATAGTGGCATGACCGCCGCCGTTGAGCCCCTCCCACGCCCTCGCATTCCCAGTCCCAGCGCTCACTTTTCGCTGTTTTCCCAGGCTCTGATCTACCGCAGCAAATCCGCGAGCCTCTCATCGAACTTCTCTTCAAGACCTATCCTCTCTACGTCGACCGTGCGTCCCGACAGGCCGTCCAGCTATGTCTCCGCTCGCTTCTGGTGGACCCCGTGTCGCCCGATCTTCTCAAGCTTCTCACCCAGAAGTTGCAGATTGAGTCGTCCAAGACCGGATTGGCTCCCAGCTCGGCCTTTGTGCTTCTCGAATGGTGTTCGATCCTGCTCCAGAACTTCAAATCCGATTCGGAGACGCCGCTTCCGGTCGTGTTGGACCTCATCGCCGTCGACGCCAAGGCTCTCGAAACCTGCCTCTCCGCCGGCCCCAAACCAGCCGTCAAGCAATCCGCGCTTAGAGTCACCCGACGCGCTCTGCGAGCCGTTTTCTCCTCGCCGACCCGAGGTGATGATGCCATCCGTCAATCCGTTCGTCGATTGACGAGCGATTCCACCGCGGGCCAGAAGAATGCGCCCTTCCTTGGGGTGATCTCCGGGGTCTGCGCCCGTCTGCCGGGAAAGAAGGCCGTACTGGAGGAGGAAAAGAAGGCGATCGTTGCGTTCTTCGTCAAGGAACTTGTCGGATCCAAGGCTGCTCCTCCGAACCACATCGCCGATTCCCTGTTCGATTTCTTCGTCGCATTCGTTTCCTATGAAGACGTGGTCTCCGAGATTATCCCGCCCTTGGAGAAGGCCATCCTGCGAGCCCCCGAGGTGGTTTTCAGCGGTCTCGTTCCGTCGCTCTGCTCTGCGCTCCCCGAAGACATTGACCTGTCGGAGGTTCTGCAATCCCGGCTCTTGAAACACCTTCTGGCTAGCATGAAGTCGAACAACCCGGCCATCAGACAAGGCGCGGTCCAGTCGTTCGAGTCGTTACTGTCTCGATCCAAGAACGAGGGATTGCTCCTCAAGATCGCGAGCGAGGTCATCGGTCCTCTGAAGACCCAAAAAATCACGAACCCCGAGCACCGTGCCGCATACGCCCAAGCACTCTCGGCTGCCCTCCCTTCGGTCAACCTTTCGAAGGATGTGGTCCAGGGCCTCGTTCCCGTGTTTGCGCGGGAGTCCAATGAGGCTGCACTGGAGCAAGAGATCAAAGCGTTCTGTACCCATCTGGCGGTTCTTGTCAAATCGAATGTTAAGGTCGCCGATGATGTCGTCAACACCATTGTCAAGGGAGCTGCAGAAAAGCGAATCCCCTTCCGCAAGCTGTGGCAGCTCAATGTTGGCGAGGTCTTCTGGCATGCCGATCCCACGAATCTAGTTAATCCTGAGGTTGCACCGCTCGTGACTAAATTCCTCAATAAGATGAAGGAATTGTTCACTGAAGTCTCTTCTAATCCCTTGCCATCGGCTCAGAGCGGCTCCTTGTCCTCAGCTTATGTCTTTCTGGCGCTTGCTGGGCATCTGGTTGCTGTGCAGGGCTTTGACGTGGCTTCCTGGGAAGCCGTAGTAACCCAATCGCTTGCGCTCAGTCCCAAGCCATCGTTCCTCTTGAACCCTAGAGCATACTCTAAGTTGACCGCGCAAGCTGAGGTCCAGTGGGTCGTCAGAACTCTTGCTGTTGTCTCATCGAGCTCGAAGTTCGAGGGTGCTGAAGATGCCGCTAAGGTTGCTTGGGGACAGGCATTTATCTTCGCTATCACTTTGCCTGGCCTTCACACAAACTTCCGCGAGAACTCCGCTCGTACACTATCGGAGGTTCACCTCAAGAACGTCGGGTTGATTAGCCGTGTCATAATAGATGCTCTGTGGGCCTGGATTCTTTCCTTTAGGACCGCTGAGAAAGAGTCCGCGCCAGTTTCCGCGGGCCCAGAAAGCGAACGGTTCCTTCATCTCGTTGCCAAGGCCCTCTGCCCCAGCGCATCCAGCGAGTCAGAGAAGGTGAACTCTGACCTCAAGGACCAGCTTGTCAAACTTCTCGTCCTTTGCCGGTCAGAGCTGATCCCCAATGTGTCATGGATTGCCCTGTGCCTGCGCACCGGAACAGACCCTGGGAACCTTGTTCGCGAGTTCCCGGAGGAATGCATGAAGCAATTGAATCAAATACAAGCGGTACGGTTTCGCCATCTCACTCTTCTTTCAGATGCCTATTTTGCTAAACTCCTTTGTGTACAGGATCCTGTTCAATCCAAAATCCCCAAAATCGATGATGCTACGTGGGCCGCCGCCGGAGACCTGGCATTCGTGGCTCCTGACACCATGGTTCCCCGCCTTGTTGCTCAGATCAAGGACGACTTGGATCCCTCTCGACTTTCTAAATTTACACCGACTGACGCGGCTATCGCCCGTACTCCTGAGGGCACCATGTTTGTCGATGTCTTGAGCACCAAGTCCAAGCAGCCTGCTTTTGACAAGAACACCAAGGACTACGATATCCTCAAGTGGGAGGAAGATCTGCGCTCGCAATTGGCTGCAAAGAAGGGTGAGAAACAGAAGAAGCTCACCGCAGACGAGCAGTCGAAGGTTAAGGCCCAACTCGCAAAGGAGTCTAAGATCCGCGAGGAGGTTCTTCAGGAGGTTAAGAGAATCGAAAGGGGTGCTGGTATCATTCACGGCCTCGCAGACGGCCCAGCCGTTGATGCGGATGGTTGGATCAATGCTGCCGTAAGCTCTTTGCTGTCCGTCTCTGAGGCCGGTGCTGGTCTATTCTCCGGCGATACCGTTTCCAAGGCATACGTCAAATGCTCCGAGAAGCTATCCACCCGATTGGGCCCATTGCGCACTTTTGTCGGTGTCGCTACCCTGCGAGCCCTGGGAAAAAGCAACCTTCCTGCAGAGATGGAAATAGAGCCTCTGGGACAACTCGTGACGAGGATTCTCTACCGGTTGCGTTTCGCTTCTGAACAACGGCCTTTTGATATCTCGTCTTTGGCCTACCTTCTGCCGCTGATCTTCGCCATCATTTCCCAAAACGGAGTTGATGAGCAGGATGCGGAGCAAGAGGGTGAACAAGTCCTGCTTGCTCTTGAGTTCTTGTCTTTCCATTCCGGCACGTTCGGTGATGAGCGCCTTCCTCGTGTTGCGGTGCTGGAGCACTTGCTCACCTCGATGCAGAAGTACACGCCTCATTACAAGCTGATCAAGGATACTCTGTTCGATCTGTGCAGATGTATCTCGCCAAACATTGTCAAAGAAGAGCTCGATGTTCTCCTCAAGGGTACCATCGTCTCCGACGCATCTGTTCGGACATCATTCTTGCAGGCTATCGACGCCGAGATCGATTTGACCGACCTCGATTTCTCCGAGCACATCTGGTTGGAGTGCCACGATCATGTGGAAGAGAATGCCGAACTTGCGGAAACCATTTGGGAAGATAATGCGCTGGAGGTTGATGACTCCACGTACGGAAAGATCATCCCGTACCTTAGCTCCAAGGACTCCCAGCTCCGAGGTGCTGCTGCCCGCGCGCTGGCACATGCCATTGAATCGAACCCTTCGGTGTTTGGCGATATTGTTTCCGAGCTGCAAGCTAAGTATGAAAGTGAGGCCCGGCCAAAGGCACCGGAGAAGGACGCCTACGGTTTGCCCAAGAAGATGGATATGACAGATCATTGGGAATTCCGCAGCGGCATTGCTCTTGCCTTCGGTGCCATGACCTCTGGATTTGAGGGCGAGCAGATCGTTTCTTTCCTCCGATTCTTGATTGAGAGGGGTCCTTTGATCGATCGCAGCGGTGTGGTCAGGGCTCAAATGGCCGAGAGTGGTCGGTCCGTCATTGCCGCGCGTGGCCAGAACAAGGTTGAAGAGTTAATGGTTCTTTTGGAGACTACATTGGAGACATCAGACAAGGGAAGTGAAACTTCCGACCTGCTGAACGAAGCTGTGGTTGTCTTGTACGGATCTATTGCCCAGCATCTCAAGGCAGACGATCCCCGGTTGCAGACCGTCATCCAAAGACTCCTTGCCACCCTTCCAACACCTTCGGAAAGTGTGCAGGCCGCTGTTTCTGCATGCCTGCCACCTCTTATTCGCCTTTCTGGCTCCCGAAGCGCAGGGTATGTCCAGGAAATGCTGGACGAGCTCTTGCAGTCGAAGAAGTATGCCACGCAACGTGGTGCTGCATACGGTCTTGCTGGTATTGTCAGTGGCAAGGGTATTTCCACTCTCCGCGAGTTCCAGGTCATGGCCCACCTTCGCGCAGCTGCGGACAACAAGAAGGAGCCTCACCAGAGACAGGGTACGCTGTTGGCTTACGAGCTTTTTGCAACTATCCTTGGGCGCATCTTTGAGCCCTATGTGATCCAGATTGTCCCGCAACTTCTGGCCGGCTTTGGTGATCCCAACGCCGACGTTCGTGACGCTTGTCTTGACGCCTCCAAGGCTTGTTTCGCCAATCTCAGTTCCTATGGTGTCAAGAAGATCCTTCCAACCCTTCTCGACGGTCTCGATGACACGCAATGGCGTAGTCAAAAGGGAGCCTGTGACCTCCTCGGAGCCATGGCCTATCTTGACCCGCAACAGCTGGCGGCAAGTCTGCCGGCCATTATTCCTCCGTTGACGGTTGTGCTCAATGATACCCATAAGGAAGTGCGCAATGCCGCCAACCGAAGTCTCCAAAGATTCGGTGAGGTCATTAGTAACCCTGAAGTGAAGAGCTTGGTCGGTGTGCTCTTGAAGGCTCTGAGTGACCCTACCAAATTCACAGACGAGGCTCTGGATTCTCTTATCAAGGTTTCCTTCGTTCATTATCTGGATGCTCCCTCTTTGGCGCTGGTTGTCCGTATCCTTGAGCGTGGTCTTGGAGACCGATCGACGACTAAGCGGAAATCGGCCCAGATTATCGGCAGTTTGGCTCATCTCAGTGAGCGCAAGGATCTCATCACGCATCTGCCAATTATCGTTTCCGGCCTGCAGCTGGCCATTGTCGATCCTGTTCCCACCACCCGTGCGACCGCGTCCAAGGCTCTTGGATCCCTGGTCGAGAAGCTTGGAGAAGACGCTCTTCCCGACCTCATTCCCAACCTTATGTCTACGCTCAAGTCGGATACCGGCGCAGGTGATCGACTGGGTTCTGCTCAAGCCCTTTCAGAAGTCTTGGCCGGATTGGGAACTACGAGACTCGAGGAGACCCTGCCTACGATCTTGCAGAATGTTTCCAGCTCGAAACCTGCTGTCCGTGAAGGTTTCATGACCCTCTTCATCTTCCTTCCGGCCTGCTTCGGAAACAGCTTCGCCACCTATCTCAACAAGATCATTCCCCCGATTCTTGCTGGTCTGGCTGATGACATCGAGTCTATCCGTGAGACCTCCCTTAGGGCAGGTCGTTTGCTGGTCAAGAACTTCTCTTCGAAGGCTATCGACTTGCTTCTTCCGGAGCTGGAGCGCGGTCTTGCGGACGACAGTTACCGTATCAGATTGAGTTCCGTCGAGCTGGTGGGTGATCTTCTCTTCAGCATCACGGGTATCACGGCCAAGGCCGATGACGAAGAAGAGGTTGAGGAAATTACCCAGGCCGGGCAATCCCTGCTCGAGGTTCTCGGAGAGGAGAGGAGAAACAAGGTCTTGTCTGCTCTGTTCATCTGTCGCTGCGATACTTCGGGTATGGTCAAGAGCGCAGCCATGGGTGTTTGGAAGTCCCTTGTTGCTTCTCCTAAGACGCTTAAGGACATGGTGGGCACTCTGTCTCAGCTCATCATCCGTCGCCTTGGCTCTTCGAACATGGAGCATAAGGTCATTGCCAGCAATGCTCTGGGTGATTTGATCAAGAAGGCCGGTGAATCCGTCCTCTCCACCTTGCTGCCTTCTCTCGAAGAGGGTCTGCGAACATCTCCCGATGTGGATGTCAGGCAGGGCATTTGTATTGCCCTCCGTGAACTCATCACTTCTGCATCCGTCGACGCTCTCGAGGACTATGAGAAGGTACTTATCTCCACTGTTCGCGTGGCTTTGGTGGACCATGATGAGGACGTCCGTGAGGCCGCAGCGGAGGCTTTCGACGTTTTGCAGCAGACCCTGGGCAAGAAGGCTGTCGACCAAGTGCTGCCTCATCTTCTGCTCCTGTTGAGAAACAATGAGGATGCTGAGCAGGCGCTGTCGGCGCTCCTGACGCTTCTCACCGAGCAGACTCGGGCGAATATCATCCTGCCCAACCTCATCCCCACTCTGCTCACTGCGCCCATCTCTTCCTTCAACGCCAAGGCTCTGGCCTCGTTGGCTGAAGTGGCCGGTTCCGCCATGACTCGCAGACTGCCAACGATCTTGAACTCGCTCATGGACAACATCATATCGACCACGGACGATACTCATCGCGAGGAACTGAGCAGTGCGTTCGACACCGTCTTGGTGTCTGTAGACGAGTTTGACGGTCTCAACGTGGTTATCAACGTTATGCTCACGCTCTTGAAGCATGATGATCACCGCCGTCGCGCCAATGCGGCCAACCACCTCAACAAGTTCTTTGCCGGTGCATCCATCGATTTCTCCAGATACTACCCCGACTTGATCCGCGTCCTGCTCATCTCGTTCGATGACAGCGACAAGGACGTCGTCAAGGCTGCCTGGACTGCTCTGAGCGGACTCACCTCTCACATGCGCAAGGAAGAAATGGAGGTGCTGGTTGTTCCTACGCGTCAAGTCCTGCGGGGAGTCGGTGTTCCGGGAGCGGACCTCCCTGGTTTCAGCCTGCCAAAGGGTATCACTGCTATCCTGCCCATCTTCTTGCAGGGTCTTCTCAACGGTACTGTCGACCAGCGTACGCAGGCAGCTCTCGCCATTGGCGACATTGTCGACCGTACTGCTGCGGCTTCCTTGAAGTTGTTCGTGACCCAGATTACTGGTCCTTTGATTCGTGTCGTATCCGAACGTTCGGTTGACATCAAGTGTAAGTTTCTCGTCTGTTTTGATGTTCTTTGTACAGTGTTAATGGTTGGTTATGTACAGGTGCAATTTTCCACACTCTCAACAAGCTTCTGGTGAAGATTCCGCTGGCCGTCAAGCCGTTCTTGCCCCAGCTTCAGCGAACATTTGCCCGTGGTCTGGCAGACTCGACAAGTGAGACCCTGCGCAACCGCGCAGCCAAGGGTCTTGGAATCTTGATCACGTTGACCCCGAGGGTCGATCCTCTGATTGCAGGTATGACGAGAATTTATTGCATTATGAAAGTCCAAGTATACTAAAGAGTGCCGCAGAACTTATCACGGGAACGAAGACCGCCGCCGACACCGGCGTGAAGAACGCCATGATGAAAGCCCTTCAGGAAGTTGTCGGCAAGGCTGGTGCTAATATGAGCGATGCTTCCAAGAACTCCATCCTCGCTCTTATTGACGACGATGCTAGCGACCAGACGGGTATGTTTCTCGGGTCCTATGATGGTATTCATAATCCTTTTCTGACTATTACACAGACGCTGTTGCCATTACCAATGCCAAATTGCTCGGAGCGCTTGTCAAGGTGCTTCCTGCGACCACGGCAGGACCTCTTATCAAGTACGTTGCCCTAATATTTTCGCCCTTACGTCGGTCTTTTTACTAATAGCCGATCTTTTAGGAGTCGTGTGCTTACAACGCACATGTCGCATGGCTCCGTCTTGGGACTGAACGCGCTGCTCGTCGAGTCTCCGCTGTCTCTGACGGAACAGTTCTCGTCGGAAACGCACTCGATTATTTGCCAGGGTGTCGCGCATAAGGATGTAAGTGACATCCCCTCGCTACAAGTATGGAAGTTCTTTTCGCTAATATTCGTAGCCCTTCATCGCCGACAACACTGTACTGGCTGCTGGAAAGTACTTGTTAGTGGAAGATGAACACCGCAACTTCGAAAGCACCAAGGCCATCTTCGAAGCCCTGGCTCCCTGCATTCAGCCAGGCACACCGTCCGACACTCGTCGCTTGGCCCTGGTGGTCCTCCGTACGGTCAGTCGACTCCACCCGGAGATGACTCGACCTCACCTGGCCCTGCTGGCCCCGCCCGTTTTCGCCAGCGTTCGCGACGTTGTGATCCCCGTCAAGCTGGCCGCGGAATCCGCCTTCCTGGCCATTTTCTCCGTCGTCGAGTCCGAGGGTGCCGTGTTTGATAAGTACATGGCGGGAGCTGGATCCGAACTCCCGCTGGGCCCGAAGCGCAGCATGTCGGACTACTTCAAGCGTGTTGCCCTGCGTCTCGGAGGACAAGCCCGGGAGCGCAAGGAGGCCGAAGGTGGACAAGGCGGACTGGGTCTCTCCAATGACGAGGTTGAGGATGAGAAGGAATTGTGGAGCATTGGAAAGGTGGATCTTGGGGAATCCTCTTTCGAGGAGTGATTGTAGTTTTTGTTACTCCAGCGTGCATGAGCTAGATCTATACCCCCTTTGTTCCATGAGAGGGAAGCATGTTTTGTTTTCGTTTTGTTTCTATTTCTTGTCTATATGTTGGATTGCAAAAAAGCCAAAAGTTTGTGATGAACAATGCATGATGCTATTTCTTCGTGATGATTGAGAGGTTCATTTATTTTAGAGTGTTATGGTCTGGTGACTTCTTGCCTGCGCAGTATGAGGGCCCAGGCAGGCTAAACTAGAAGGGGTAACGATATTGATCGAGAGCACGTGATGCATAGCCGGGGTCTACCGTCGAGGAAGGCCTGCGCTGAGGTTCAGAACAACAGAGCAGAGAGAAGTCTTCTAAGAAAGCCCTTGCGGTTGAATTGTCTTGATTGATCGAAGATCGACCTGCTCAAAATGATACTTTCTGTGAGCTGGGACAGTAATGCTTGTAGTTATGACGAAGGATGACTCATCCAGATGCATCGCCAAGCCCCCGGCCCGGGGCACAAGCCCTAAGGTGGAGCCGCTCGCTTAGCGACACAGTGGCTTAGCTAATCCGCCGCCCGAGTCTCAAACTCCTCAGCCGTAGGAATTCTCCCCGTCGACGAGTGCAACGAACATCATCCGCCAACGACCGTCGATACGCCGACTTCAAGATGTGAGTTTCATCTCCAGCCTCAGAATACCGTTCAGCCCGGGGAACTCCTGTCCTTCGATGGCTTCAGTTCCCATGTTCCGACCCTTCTCTCGCTCTCGTGGGGCTACGCCTGCCCTTATCTCCCCCCCATGCACGCATCCATCCCCAAGGATCTCCTGCTGACCGACGGGTTTTTTTCTGATCAAACAGGGTCAACCTTCGCACCCAGAAGCGCCTCGCCGCCTCCGTGGTGGGCTGCGGCAAGCGCAAGATCTGGCTCGACCCCAATGAGATGAACGAGATCTCCAACGCCAACTCTCGCCAGACCGTCCGCAAGCTTGTCAGCGATGGCCTCATCATCCGCAAGCCCGTCACCATGCACTCCCGCTCTCGCGCCCGTGAGCTCAACGCGGCCCGCAGAATCGGCAGACACCGCGGTCTGGGTAAGCGCAAGGGTACCAAGGAGGCCCGTATGCCCAGGTATGCACAACGACGCCCAGTTTTTTGTTCTTTTCGAGGATATGCGCAGTGGAGGAGAATGGAAGGATCGATTACATTTCCGACCGGGATATTCGAAATGGGGGAATTCTTGCGTACCATGTCGAAGGGAATCATAATGTGCTAATGGGTATCTTTTCTGGAATTTAGCGAGATCCTGTGGATGCGCCGCATGCGTGTCCTCCGTCGTCTGCTCGTCCGCTACCGTGCCTCCGGCAAGATCGACAAGCACCTTTACCACGAGCTCTACCACCTGAGCAAGGGTAACACCTTCAAGCACAAGCGTGCTCTCATCGAGCACGTAAGTTTCGCCTCCGTCTTTGCTTTGTGGCTCGGTCCACATACCTGAAACCTGCACGGTCACCACGTGCACTTGATGATGAAGATCTGTCGGACTAACCTATTTTCTTTCCACGCAACAGATCCAGAAGGCCAAGGCCGAGAGAACCCGTGAGCGTGCTCTCAAGGAGGAGATGGACGCCAAGCGTGCCCGCAACAAGGCTCTCCGTGAGAGACGCGCTGAGCGCCAGGAGGCCAAGCGCAACGCTCTCGCCGAGGGAGAGTAAATTTCCTTTGTTGACGTTTGACGGCGGTGCGGAGGTTGAAGCAGGGAAGGAACTTGGGGCAACTCGATCAGGCAACGGAAACTCGGTCGACCGATTTCCTTTCCTGCTTTGGCTCGATGGTTTGATTCATCCGGGACGGGTCTTTTTTTGTGTCATATGGAGAATCTGGATCGGGGAAAGGGTTCGTTCGGGAAAAGAGCAGGAGGCAACGTGCAAAAAGCGTTTCCTCTCTTTGGCTTTTTTCTCTCCTCGGATGGATAATACCAACTTCTGAGAGATGAAAAAGTGAGGGTGCCCAGCAAAAGGAAAAGAAAAATATCCCCATCCTATTAAATCAAAACAAATGGCATGGCGCTTTGTGTGATACGAAATCTCGAAATTTTTTTTTATTTCATTTCCATCCTCTTCCTTGATCTCCCTTTTGCCCTCAATATCAGTCTCGTCCTTTTTCCTCCGTCTCCCGACTCGATGTTTCTACCTATACTTTCCCTGGTTTTCTGCCCTCGCTCTTATTTTGCTCTCCCGATATATCTCCGTCACCGCTGTCCATGTTCTAAATCCTAATGTCGTAACGTCTCTGGAATCATCACTCTTGTCTCTGTCTTCTATAACTTATCGATATCGTATACCGTATGATTGCGACTGAGGTGAATGTCAAGTTGCAGTGCGAATTAATTTTGTGCCTTGGTCTGGATTGGTTCGACATAATTGATGCTCAATCTGTGTTTTTAGACCGGAACAATGAGGTATTTGCTAGGCTTTTGTGCGGTTTAAATATATTTTGGTTCGTCGATCTTCAGAGGCTAATACTTCATGATGGTTATATATATTTTGGTGGATGAATCAGTAAGTGGACATTGTATATGGTTTATTGCCGAGAATATATATAATATGTGTATAGGATATGAGAGTGTTTTGGATAAGGGAACAACAAAATCATAGCGGATTCGAGAACAGTAGAAGCCGGATATCAATACGGGAATTATTTATTATATTCGACGAAAGCTGACTGGAGGTGAAAATCAATTCGAGTGGGTGATATTTGATATTAATAAATCTTAATACAGCCCGCCAAAGAAACGGCCCTTCCATCAAATGGGAATAAGTGAGACAAAGTACTGATACATTATTCATACAGAAAAAGCACGCCTCGTCTCCAAATGCAACCATATCGTGACAAGCTAGAATACAGAACAGGATTAAAAGCAGAAAGGCATAGAAGGTATGCCGTACCATGCGTCTCTCATATCATGCGCCATATTTTTAATGCATTGGGTTGGTGTTGTGTCTGAGTTTCCTGCGTTTCGCAGGATTTTCATTCATGGCTCATGTGTTCATATCACATCACATATCTTCGTTGATCAGAGACCTCGGTTTGAAGACGAGCAACGAAAAGAAGTTGCTCGCTTCGGGATTCATAAACAGCAACACGCTGTGTCTCCGTGCCTCTCGATTATACCTGGGCCCGGGTGATAGTGGCAGCACTATTTCGGTCCATCACTCTGGCGGGAATCTCCAGATCAAATGGATCGCTGCGCGTGCTGCTTCGCGCCACCGATTCAGTTGGCGAGCAGAGACCTAGTTCGGCCGCCGACGCGCCGTAGCTGAATCGCCGCAGGCTGCTACCGGAGCTGCTACGCCCCGGGAGGAAGATAGTGCTGCCTAGGCTGCGATCGCTACCGTACATCGACCCTTCGTCACGCACGAAAGGAATTCCAGGACGTCGATGACTTTCCGAAGAGGCGAAGGATAAAGGAAGGGATGCGGGTCGTCGAGGGAAGCTGGGTCGTCCCGTATGCTGAGGGTCGTCGAGGAACGGGTATCGGACAGTGTTTCGTATGTGATAGGCGTTTTCTCGCATCGTCGGCGAGATTTCAGCTGGGTTGGAGTAAGGACTGGAGTGATGACTTGGTTGTTGCTGATTGGGATCATGATGATCCTCGTAGTTGGGCATTAGTGGTGCATTAGGTATGTAATTGTACATTGAACGGGTTGAAGAAGTGTCGGACACTTTCGAGGCATTGGACCGATACTCGTGGTATAATCCAGCCCCGGAGTCTGGTGACTTTCGGCCATTGTGTAGTGGCTTTTCACTGCCTCCGACACTCTGGCCGCCTTTTGTTTTCCGTCGGTTACGAAGGATGAGAAAACATATCAGAATTGCGAGGACGAGAAAGGCCGCCGCACCCAGAGCGCTACCTAGGATGGTACGCAGCGAGGCACTGCCCTTGTTGTCCTCGGACGAGGCTGGAGGTTCTCGAAGCGAATGAGTCTGGGAAGGAACACTTCCAGTGGTTGTTGAGACTAATGTAAAGGATGTTGTGGAATTGATCGTAGGTATAGGTGTATGCACAGGTATTGTCGGGCTATATGAAGGGCTGGAGAAATTCGGTGTTACACGCGACGGTAGTGCTGTGACCTCATAGGCTGCATCGTGCGAAGAGGACAAAATTTTTGTGTTTACTTCATCCTCGGTGCTTGGGAGAGAATTGGCGGGTGCAACCGACGGTATGTTTGGAACAGCTGTAGTGGTCGTAACAGCCGTTGGCGTCGTCGTAGCGGCGACCACCGGTGCCACATCCGCTGTCTGTGACGTCTGCGAAGCAGTTGTTTCCACAGCTGGTGGCGGTACTTTTATCTCTTGTGTACTTGGAGTGTCAAGGCTGTTGAATAAAGGCTCTACCCGTTGTGTGGGAGCCAGGGTCTCATCCGCAGCATCAGATGCCGTTGAAGTCAGGGAAGAAGTTAGGGCTGACAAGGAGGTGGTTGAGGGTACTGCCACGGCTGATTTTTTGTGGATTTTGGTACATCGTAGCCCGTGATGAAAGATCGCCGCAGGGCTCGACATTGACATGTCGCCTGGCCCGACAGGAGGCCTTGAACGCGCCAAATGGCGTAGCTAAATCGGGGAAGGGAGCAGACAGACAAAGCTGCAATGCATAAAGGAGAACTAAGGGGGTATAAGAGTAAGTACCACGAGGCGTTTGCGAGGTAAACCGGGGCGCCCAAACGCCGAGTCGACCGGATAATGAAGGAATGACTGTGAAAAGGGATTAAGGAACGAAAAAGAAATGATAGGCCTTCACAATATGATCAAAGAAGGGAAATGCGAACATGCTAGTTCATTCTGATTGTTTTTTCTTCTCTAGGAGGGGCAGACATCAGACTAAGCCATGACAACAGGCGTCTGAGGCGTTTTTGGCCCACGTCGACTGTGCCGTTTCAGGAACAGATGGTGAGGCAGAAATGGCACAAGCGTGGGATTCTATCACGTTGGCCAGTAAGTATATATTGACAGGCAGGTGAAGAAGACAGGGATGAGAGCCGGCCCAAAAAGATAAAATCAAAACAAAACAAAACAATGGTAGAGAACTCGAGGACGATGGGTAATTAGAGGGGAGATAGCGGAAAAAGGGCAAATTTGCTGGTCATCCAGTCAGGGCGCTTAGGGACCAATGCGGAGAGACGAACTGGTGGCCATCATTCGGTGGAAGCTGAAGCAGGGGATGAACGACTTCAGGACTCGACGAACCCATCGGGGGGTGATATGAAACAAAACCCATCAAGGAGACCCAATCCCTTGTGCAGAACAGCCTGCGACAATGGGCGGTGTTAGTTTCTTGCATGGAGAAAGGGAAGCCCCTTTGGCCCCTCGCGCCCCCATCCGAAGGAGGTCAGCCATGAAAAACCGTAATCCCGAGGGACCAATGGTGTGGACGTCAACCTATCATATTTTTTAGATGGAAAGCATCGAAATGGAGGAGGACCGAGAAAGCAAAGAAGAGCCGGAGCTGCTTCATTATTGGGACATGCGAATAGTCGGCCGCACGGGACCTCGGGGCTGACTAACACAGCACTAATCCCAGAGAGGCCTGCAGGTCATGTGCCTGTGGACCGGCCCGACTGTCTCCTTTGGGATGTCTCATTGTCTGGTGGATCGTCCCAGATTCATTCCATCAATCCACTCACTTACCCACAATGGCTTCGGGTCTCAAAGAGAACCAGCCATCGATTCTTCAGGAGAAAAGGCATTGTTCGTGTCCCCCCGTTGGCTTGCAATCGTTCTCCAAACCCCAAGCCAGACAATCTGAAGAGTCAGGGATCATCAACTTTCCTCTCCACTTGACCTCAGCTAGCGACAATCCGTGTGGACCCCGTTCCCTGCCGGCCTTCTGAATGGGCGTCAGAAGCACAGTGCATGCCAATTACGTATTATTATTGAGTGGTCCGCCCTTTTGGCGATGATACCATAGTACATCTGGCCTGGGTCTGAAGCGGATGATCCGATGTATCTGTCACTCGCCATGCGAGGCAACTACTCGATATATGGACCAAAGTCAACCGGAAATTGGACGTCGCGGGTACCACGGTACCTCGCACCTTGTCATAATGAATCCCCAATACTAACAGGATTCTGTAAAGTTCGCCTTAACCGTCTCCATTTTCCAGCGTCAACACTAGGGCCGGCCGGCTAATCCACATATTAACAAGACGCCAAGTTGAGCAGAACCAACCGCCGATGGCTTTCTCTTTCCCCCCTCTTCTCCTCTCCGCGTCTTTTGGTTCCCCCTCTCCGATCATCCGTCTTTCTGCAATTCATTTGGCGTGGCGGTACCTTTTTTATTTTTTTTCGGGGCTGTCTCAAATCTTACTCAATTTTGAGTCTCCGGAGCGAACCCTGGTCGTCGCCGAAACCCCCACCGCCGCCTGACCGTCTGGAGCCCTCACTGCGATCATCTTCCTTCATTACTGACCTGCTACGGCTTGACTTATTGACAGCTGCACAGCCCATGTGATTGCTCCGTCGCTTTCGTTTCTGAACTCTGCCCGAACTAACAGCCTGGTTGTTTTTGTGATCTATATACTCAAGTTTTTCCCATTTTCGGCCTAAGTAGAGATCGATCTTAGCCTTCCTCTCATAAGACCATCGTATCATGTTCGGATGGGCTGGTGGACTGGGTAAGGCTTCCTCCCTTTCCTTTTCCTTCGCAGCGTTGTCCCCCCCCCCGACCATGCCTTTTCGACCTTCTGCGTGCAATTTGCTTCTTCCAACACATAGTCACCATAAGCTTATGCTAGCACGGACTGCCCCTCCTGAAACGGTCGCCGCATACTCGGTGATGAGCTTACAGCTCTCCCCGGCCATGGCACGTTGTACAGCCCCTCGACCTAAGCATTGTGAAGTTTCACCTGCCTATTGATCGGCAGTAAATGACCAATTTTTCACCTCGCGCATTACTTTCCTCGTTCTAGACCAAGTCCATAAAGAAAATGTCCTATGTATTCACCCACTAACTGTCTATGCAGGCCTCGCGCCCGTGGGCTGTGAGCCTGAGAAAGAACGCCGGCCCCCGTCGGCCCCAACGAGCTTGGACTTCCCTGCCCATACCTCGGATACGACGGGGAACGAGCCCGAGTCCTCCCTGAGGGAGATAGGCAGCATCCTAGGTTCTATCAAAAGGCCGCAGGATATTTCGGCCGAAAAGTTCAAAGCTTTCAACCTGAGAGTAGAGCATGACATTCCTGCCTCAGCCATCGTTCGACAGGATGTCCCCAACTCCTGCCCCCCGCTGCCGTGGGAGGACGAGTCCCTAAATCCGTCGCCCTTGGCAGAAGATGGATCCCCTATCTTGCTGGAAAATGGTAATCCGTACCCACCAAAGGACAGATTCGAGGTGCTGAAGGACGAGCTGCTTCTTGACAATGACGATGCCTTCCGAGAGGTCGGCAGACTACCTCCGCGGGAAGGCCGCCAAAAGGTCCGGGTGACGCAGGCGAGAAAGTTCTGGATGGGGTTGGAACGTATGTCACAATACTGGGATTCGAGCTTAGATCGCTACTACGAACGTCCCGCGACGCCTCAAGGCACGCCACAGGCGACCGATGGCGAGGTACAACCACCTCAGAACGAGAGCCAGACGGGAACGGAAATGAACCTCGATGAACCGCCCACAAACAATGATCAGAAAGACGGACAAGCAGAATTCGTGACGATGTATCAAGGTCGACGCATAGCGGCGGGACATGAGATGCCAGAAGATATCCGCGAGGAGACGATTCGAGCGTTGACCGAGATGGCTGCTTGGCCCTTCGGGTGCCAGGTAGCCCTTCCAATCATGCCTCCCCGACTCACGCTCGGTACACTTCTTTTCCCCATTCGGCAGACCTTTGAGGTCGCTCGATCCCCCAAGGATCGACAATTGGCCCGAAGCGGCGTCATGGAAGGGCCTCTATTTGCAGCCCAGTGCCGACCCGAAACTTCCTTTCGAGCACCGCAGGAAGCCACGGGCTCAGGCTTCGGTGAGGTGTGCGATCTCTTTCGAGAATTAGGAAGCATGCTGCTGGCTGCCCAAGAGCGGCTGCGCCAGGGAGCGACCGAAGTCAAACCTGGCGAAGGGAAATGGTGGACGATGACGCCTCGGTGGGGTGGCGCCTTCAACGACGTTGTGGGCGACAGTGGCAACTTTAGCCATGGCGATGACAGGCCAACGCTTGATGCCGGCAATGTTCGCAAGCGATCCAAATACGAGCATCCATTCTTTGCCCCTCGAAGACCCAACGGCTCACGTCGACTGAGCAACGCGGAAAGATGGAGACTCGTTCAGCCAGGGCCCAGTCTTTGGGACCGACGGATGAGGTATATTCAAATTGGAAAGAGCCAGGACAGCGCTTTCGACGACGTAAGTTACCATGGGAGAGGGCATCTGCACCATGAATCGACTAACCAAAGCGATATCAACCAGATCTATATGCTGTCCTCGATAAACCACCACATTGCCATTCTTCATCTGCGCGTCCATCATCGATACATCGAGGTATTGACAACAGGCGACAGCGATTTCCCCCCAGACTCTGATACAGCGGACCATCCGTGGCATGTTCTCAAGATGCGGCGGACCAAGTGGTATGATTTGTTTGATGCTCAGGATCGCCTGGAGGTATTCAAGGGAATATGGACTATATTCCATTACATGCTCCGTCGGCCTTGAATTTATTTGTTTCTTCATCTTATATAGCATTGGTTTGTCGCTTTCAGCCGATCGATTTGATCTATAGACTGATATCCCCAATTATGTTATTCATATTCAACCTGTTTTCCCCTCTTGCTGATTTCACTCGTCCACGAGCGCAGACGTCGGGTCAGTTGGAGTATATAGCAGAAATACAACCATGCAGCAGAGTTGGTCTTTATGGAACTTATAGAGCATTTGCGTACTTGAAACGATACCGCGTAAAGTCCTAGCTTGCTCGTTTGAAGTCTTTTAGAATACCAACATTTCTCCTTCCATCAACCATTAAGCGGTCCATATCCAAACCTCGGCTTAAAGCCATCTCTACAATACAGACTAACGATCAATGAGCATACAGCCTTTTTCCTATCCATCCAGCCTAGCGAGTATTTCAAGCCCCTTTTCCCGCACATACTCGGATGACAGCTGGCTAACCGCCCTCTTAAGCGCCATGTATCCATTCCATCCATCCCTTTAAACCACCCCTTTCTTGTCTCGACTGATTCCCAGATCGCGACGCCATGATTGGCACATCGCTCAAACCACGTTGTTTTGATTTTCCTTTAACCCAGTAGACATATGTGTGCTCCACACAAATCCCTCCCTTTCTTCCTTCTCACATCACAGCGCAAACTCGACGAGTCGATTAGGAAGGCGATGTGTCCTCGATCTTGACATCTGAGTTTGAAGATCTGGGCCGCTTCTCGCCCACGGTGTCTGACCGTTCGGAAGATGTCTCCTGTATGTGTGTATGGCTGCTGTCCGGTGCCTGGCTAGGAAGTCGTACAGGTACTCCTTGGGTAGGTCTGGAAGCCTGCCCTCCCTGTCACTCGACCCCCTGTCCGTCCCGTTTGCCCTCTGCGGGTCGCCTGTCTGTCTATACTACATACTACCCACCATCTAGTCATCGCACCGACTAGTTTGCCTATTGAGGTTGTCCACGGGGTGGTTAGCCCAGTAAGGTAGCGACTAGAGTCATGCGCGCCGAGGGTCCAAGCTCCAGCTCCATCCCCCAGCCTTCTCCAGAACAGGTCGATACATTCCTACGGTATGCACAAAAGACTGGTACGACCTCCAATCTAGGGAGCCGAATACTTCCACCGACTGACTTGCTAGAGGTATCTGCCTGGTGGTGCAGGTACCTAGCCGCCAAAGCCGAGGGGAACGCCCGTTTCTCTCTTTTTTTATTACCTTTTATTGTGCCCCTTCCCTGCTTCTGCGTGGAGTACATATGTGTATGTCTATGTGCGTGTTATGCCTGGCACATACGGACGTGCGTACACGACGGCATGGGTCGCGTTTGCAGTTGGGCTGTCTCGGAGTTTCCGAATCAGTGGTGCCTCTCTCTCTCTTCTGCCTCGGTGTCTTGGTGGAGATGTGTCAATGTCACTAGCTGACGATATCTAATACATCCTAGGGAGGTAATCCCTCATACTGTACGGGAATCCTCGGTTAGATAATGCCTCGCACCGTATAATGCGGTTTATAAATAGAGACAGCTAGTCGGTGCGTACTTCCCTAGTCAATGTGCTTTGTTTTTGGTCTTTCCCTTTGTATTGTCTGTCCAGGATTGTAGAGCAATTCCCTATTTGGTATTAGCGACGACGACGGACATCGCAGACACCGTCGACACCTACTTCGTAAGTAGGCAGGTAGGTACGTATCGATTATTGTCACTGTTCGCCGGGCTCGCCTCACTTTCATCTTATCGATCTGCTCCGGTTTTCTCCAAAGGCGGGATCGAGGAACGGCAGGGATGGTGGCATCTACGCCGGCGGCGAGCAAATGGATGGGCAGCACTCCGGGGTACGCGAGTGGAAAAGGAAATCCGGCGCGCAGATTGGAGCAAAAGCACGGCGGGATCAACCAGTCAGGATGCTCCGTGCAGTGAGGCTCCCGAAGGTTCTGATCACGGATCATCATCCCACACACACACATCCCAGCAGATGGGAGTCTGTGCGTGGCGATGGACATCGACACATACTGCTTCCAGAGATCCCCTCCCCTCCCCCCCTGCCCTACACAACGGACCCGAAAATTTCAAGTAAGGAGGGTCCCCGGCCGGGAGGCAGTGCTGCCATTAACGATCACTAGCTGATAGTGAGGGAGAAGGTCGGGGGGCGGAGAAAAGCAGGCGAGGCCGAAAAACAAGGCGGGAATAATAATCATCATTCGACACGGCTGCCTTGCTTCGACGGGGCTCCACTTCGGTTCCTCCTACGTAGGTAGGTGTATAAACCCCGTATATGACAAGGGATGGTGAACGCCATTTGATGGTGATGGCTGACACGGGAGATAATGGCTGGTGGTGGTCACTGGCTACGTCTTCCCCTGCGTGGACAACACCGATCGTAGTTAACACTTGACGGTAGGTAGTTAGTAGTTACCTGTAACCAGCGGGTTACTTCATAGTATGCAACCATTCCTACTCCGGACTCCATAATCATCTCTCACATATGAAGAATATTTATGGAGATTCCCGCCCGAAAGGCTCGGCCGTTCGTCGGGATTGCTGATCAGGGGAAGCGGGCGGATGCCAAAAGCCTGGGAGTGTACTTTTGCAGCCGGCGATGCCCAAGACAGTAAATGCTGGACGGCAGCCTGGTTGGTTGCGTCTTGATCATTCAGAGTCCTGGTCCGGTCAATAATGTCAGACAACGGAGTCCAAGTGACCATCAAGCCCTTCCGCTTCCTTCACTTCCTCCCCAGAATCCGTCAGGTTGCAAACTCTGTGTTTCTTCAGGCGGGTATTCCAGACCAGTCCATCAATCCGGCACAGGCCGAAGAGATGGCTCAAAGAGGCATGTTGACTGCACATCGCTCAGGTCCCCATGAAGTGTTTCATCATTAAAATAATACATCCATCAAAATACGCTCGTATTATCCCCGCTTCCTGTCGTTCTCTGCCCGTCTCTGCCTACAACTACTACGCTACCGACTCCCCAACCACCGACCGACGACGTTGCCCTATCTGTGCGCAACTTGGCCACTTGGCGAGCAAACGTCCTCGGTAGATATGTCCCTACGCAAGGTAGTATACCCGGGTAAGATACTGTACACACAGACCCAAGTATTTCGCGACGGAGGCATTCTTCCATTGCCCGCTGATCGGGATCCCTTCTCGTGTCCTCAAAGCCCGTGATTTGTCACTGCCCCTATGTCACTCTAGCCAGGTACCCCCGATTGCCAAATTATCTGGGCATTTGGAAGAATACCACCTCAGAACCCCTTCAACACCAAGGAGCATCTTTTTTTGCGCAAGAACCTTTCCCCATCGGGCTCTGTGCATGTCTCGGTACCAGAAATTGAAATCGCGCCTATGTATGCACGTACGCAGGACCTATGTACCTGGAATCGCCGCCGTCGACACCCATAGGTAGACAAACGTCCTCACAGTCCGGACGTGTAGTTACATGGACATGACATGTGTCGAGGTCGATTTCTCCCACTATACCTATCGCGTTCTTTATAGACAGATGATAATATACAGAGATGAGTATATAGATCAAGATGGGGAATGGTCCACCTGCGCGCCATAGTACCAACTACTCCGTACGCGCATACATAAAGAAGCCAGAGTGTCGACAAATCTATACTAAGAAAAAAAAACCAAGACCATTGTGGAGAGGACCGTCCCCCCCCCCAACGACCACATTGCATATGACATGAGAATCATCAGCTTCGTATGCGAGAACTGATCCAACCTAACCTCCTCCAGGAACATGGCTCTCCGATTTAGCGCCATCGCGGACATGTTCGGTGCCGGATCAGGGCTAGTTCTAGGAGACAGTACTCTGTAATGTAATTGAGGTGAAAAAAAGGGGAGGAAACAGCGGAGTAGGTCGTTACAGGGTCGAGAGAGGGGAAAGACAAGGAAAAAGAAAAGGAGATTAATTGAGGTTCCAGATCAATGGAAATGTGATAGATCCAGTGGCGTCCGAGAAAATCGCGACGAGAAAGAGAGCAAAACAGACAGAGACAGGGCTCGGACTTGCCGTCACATTTTAGTATTACAGAAGGCAAAAAAAAAGAAAAAGGTATCATGTCATGCATTATGCCTTAGTGGGCTTTTTCTTCTTCCGTCTGCCATGCACCGATAAAGCAAGTCGTTAAGAGTAAGTTAGCGTTATTAATGATGACAAAAATAAATAGAACATCGACAGGGTATTCCGTCTGTACCTAAAACGGAGTTAAAAATAAATGAATAAAAAAGAGAGAGAAAAAAGACACTTTGGCCGAACGATGGTCAACATGTGGCCAGTTCGGCCGCGACAGGCCCGATATTGGCCCTTCCCTTAGCTTTTCTCTCCCCGCAACGAGCTGTGGGAAAGCATACCGAGAAAGCCTCCCGAGCCCGTCAACCAGGCCCATGGGAGCGGATGGGATGGAAGTTAGAAGTCTATCTTCGCATTACGGAGTCAGCGGGTGGTCGAGAATCTTTTTACTTTACTCCGTGCGCATTACGCATGCATACCGACGATGATCATTCAATGTGGATGTTTTGTCCGTCCGGGCCTCTTGCCGCATGACTTCCACTACGCCGATGATCTCGGGCCCTTGCGGAATGATAAAAAACTCAGTTAGAATAGATAGAAAAGAGCGGCCGTAGGAGAAGTTACACACCCCATTTCTGGCCATCACCACACAGAAAGACCTCCATCTAAGTCTGGGTTCAATCCAGACACAATAATTCGGAGAATTGAACAGATAGATCCGATGTCTTAAGTATAACACATAATGTCCGTTGCTCCCTCCCCGTTTCGGGTTAGATTCTATGCAGAAAGGAACCCTCACAGCCACAGCCAACCCAAGTTGTTTGCGTCTGCAGAGAAATTCGCTCTCCGCGGACAGGAGACTCGGGTCATTTGAACTGCAAATGAGGTTACATCAACTATATATGTATGGGGGTCGTAGTACGCAGAATGATATGGTTGTTTTAATATCCCTGCACCTCCTGTTTCAGTTCTCTTAGCATCCTA